AAATCTTGAATTCAGGATTTTGGAAACCTAAAATGTTGAAGTCAGCAAAAATCTTGAGTTCAGGATTTTGAAAACCTAAAATCTTGAAGTGAGGCAAAATATTGAATGCAGGATTTTGGAAAGCGAAAAGCTTGAGGTAAGCCAGAATCTTGAATTCAGGATTTTTCAAACTATAATCTTGAAGTGAGACAAATACTTAAATTCTGGATTTCGAAAATCTAAAATCTCGAAGTCAGCCAAAATCTTCAAGTCGGCCAAAATCTTGAATTCATTATCTTGGAAAGCTAAAATCTCTAAGTGAGCCAAAATCTTGAGTTCAGGATTTTGGATACCTAAAATCTGGAAGTGAGGCAAAATCTTGAAGGCAGGATTTTGGAGGCTAAAATCTTGATGTCAGCCAGAATCTTGAATTGAGGATTTTGCGAACCTAAAATCTTGAAGTGAGCCAAATACTTAAATTCAGGATTTTGGGAATCTAAAATCTTGAAGTCAGCCCAAATCTTCAAGTCAGCAAAAATCTTGAATTCAGGATTTTGGAAAGATTAAATCTTCAGGTCAGCGAAAATCTTGACTTCAGGATTTTGGAAAGCTAAAATTTTGAAGTGACCCAAAATGTTGAATTCAGGGTTTTGAAAAGCTAAAATCTTAAAATCAGCCAAAATCTTGAATTCAGGATTTTGGAAAGCCAAAATCATGAAGTCAACCAAAATCCTGAATTCAGGATTTTCGAAAGGTAAAATCTTGAATTAAGCCAAAATCATGAATTGATTATCTTTGAAAGCTAAAGTCTTAAAGTGAGCAAAAATCTTGAATTCAGGATTTTCGAAAACTTAAATCTTAAAGTGACCCAAGATCTTGAATTCAGGATTTTGGAAAGCTAAAATCTTCAAGTCAGCCAAAATCTTGAGTTCAGGATTTTGAAAACCTAAAATCTTGAACTGAGGCAAAATCATGAATGCAGGATTTGGGAAAGCTAAAATCTTGAAGTCAGCCAGAATCTTGAATTCATGATTTTGCAAACTTAAAATCTTGAAATGAGCCAAATACTTAAATTCAGTATTTCGGGAATCTAAAATCTTGAAGTCAGCCAAAATCTTGAATTCTTATTTTGGAGAAGTGAAATCTCTAACTGAGCCAAAATCTTGAATTCAGGATTTTGGAAAGGAAAAATCTTGAAGTCAATCAAAATGCTGAGTTCAGGATTTTGGAAAGCTAAAATCTTGAAGTCACCCAAACTCATGAATTCAGGATTTTGGAAAGCAAAAATCTTGAAGTCAGCCAGAATCTTTAAGTCAGCAAAAATCTTGAATTCATTATTCTGGAAAGCTATAATCTTGAAGTGAGCCAAAATCTTGAATTCAGGATTTTGGAAACCTAAAATGTTGAAGTCAGCAAAAATCTTGAGTTCAGGATTTTGAAAACCTAAAATCTTGAAGTGAGGCAAAATATTGAATGCAGGATTTTGGAAAGCGAAAAGCTTGAGGTAAGCCAGAATCTTGAATTCAGGATTTTTCAAACTATAATCTTGAAGTGAGACAAATACTTAAATTCTGGATTTCGAAAATCTAAAATCTCGAAGTCAGCCAAAATCTTCAAGTCGGCCAAAATCTTGAATTCATTATCTTGGAAAGCTAAAATCTCTAAGTGAGCCAAAATCTTGAGTTCAGGATTTTGGATACCTAAAATCTGGAAGTGAGGCAAAATCTTGAAGGCAGGATTTTGGAGGCTAAAATCTTGATGTCAGCCAGAATCTTGAATTGAGGATTTTGCGAACCTAAAATCTTGAAGTGAGCCAAATACTTAAATTCAGGATTTTGGGAATCTAAAATCTTGAAGTCAGCCAAAATCTTCAAGTCAGGCAAAATCTTGAATTCAGGATTTTGGAAAGCTAAGATCTTAAAGTGGCCCAAAATCTTGAATTTCAGGAGTTTGGAAAGCTAAAATCTTGAAGTCAATCAAAATCCTGAGTTCACGATTTTAGAAGTCAGGATTTTGGAAAGCTTAAATGTTGAAGTCAGCCAAAATCTTGAATTCAGGATTTCGTAAAGCTACAATCTTGAAGTCAGCCAGAATCTTTAAGGCGGCCAAAATCTTGAATTCATTATTTTGGAAAGCTAATATATAGATTTAGCGAGGGCTAAAAGCGGAGCTCTCGATAATATTTCGAGTTTGTTCAAACAAAATATAAAATATTGTAAGACTGTTGAAAAACAACAATAGGTCTAATTAGTAAAAAAGCAATTTTGCACGTGCAGCACACTGCTTTTGTACATTTCTTTGCCGTTGTGTTGCACGACTACAACGTGAAACTTCCAGAAACTTCTTAGTTACACGTTTTATGGAAGAAAAATGTCGTACGTGTTCTCCTTCACATTTTTCCACTGCCGCTCATTTTCACCTTGCATTATTGCTGGCTGCTACTATTTCTCATTTTGTGAATGCCGCTACAATTTTTAAAAAAAATCTCCCTCGCCCTTTTCCTCGTTGAGCTTCGCTGGCTCCCGCCCACTTTTTCTTTTTCTCTGTCTTTCTCTTGCTCTATATTCCAATTTCAATTTTGTGGACATGACAATTTATCTAAGCTTAATACTTTAGACAAAACGGATACAGAAAAAGTTTCCACTTTCCGTTTTCGTCTTTATTGACTCTTTTGTTGTCTCTGCTTTGCGATTTCCCGCCAAAATAACCTCGAGTTGCATTTCGGTTGCCATACTGAAATCTTGAGGTCATGCAAAATCTTGAATTCATCATTTTGGAAAGCTTAACTCTTGAAGTCAATTAAAATCCTCATTTGAGGATTTTGGAAGGCCAAAATCTTAAAGGCAGCTGAAATGTTTAATTCAGGATGTGGGAAAGCTAAAATCTTAGAGTCAGCCAAAATCTTGAATTCAGAATTTGGGAAAGCCAAAATCTTAAATTGAGGTTTTTTCAAAGCTAAAATCTTGAAGTCAGCCAAGATCTTAAATTCAGGATTTTGGACTGCTCAAATGTTGAAGGGATTCAAAATCTTGAATTCCAGGTAGTTTTGGAAACTTAAAATATATAAGTTAGTCAAAATCTTGAATTGAGGATTTTGAAAAGCTAAAATCTTGAAGGTAGCCAAAATCTTGATTTGGTGATTTTGGAAAGCTAAAAATCTTGAAGACAGCAGAAATCTTGAATTCATCATTTTGGAAAGCTAAAATCTTGAAGTCAGCTAAAATCTTCAACTCAGAATTTTCGAAAGCTAAAATGTGCATTTCAGCCAAAATCTTGAATTCAGAAGTTTGGAAAACTGAAGTCTTGAAGTCAGCCAAAATTTTGAATTCAGGATCTTGGAAAGGCAGAATCTTGAAGTCAGCCAAAATCTTGAGCACAAGATTTTGGCCAGTCGAGCGAAATGTCGAAGCTCAACCAATATCTTGAATTCAGGAGTTTGAAAAGCTAAAATCTTGAGGTCATCCAAAATCTTGAATTCAAGATTTTGGAAAACTAAAATCTGGAAGGCAGCCAAAATCTTTAAATCCGGATTTTGGAAAGCTAAAATCTTGAATTCAAGAATCTGGATAGCTAAAATCTTGAAGTCAGCCAAAATCGTCTCTTCAGGATCTGAGAAGGCTAAAATCTTTTATTCAGGATTTTGGCGTTCCAAAATCTTGAATTGAGGATTTTAGATCTCCAAAATCTTGATTTTAGTATTTTGGCTAATCAAAATTGTAAAGTGCAGTCAAAATCTGGAATTCGGGTTTTTAGAATGCTAAAATCTTAAAGTGGCGTATGGTTTGGTTTTGCTGCAAAGATGTTGATATTTTGCTCGGCGAAATCTAATTAATTGTTATTTTTTTTGTGCAAGGTTTGAACCCAAGAGTCATATGAAAAGTAGGTTGAGTTTGATCGTCCGGGTGAACGTAGTCCTGAATAGGACTGTTGATGTCGACAACCTGTGCCTTAGTCATTTGTTTTTAAGAGAAGACGACTGTCATCCTACTTTAAACTTATACTCATTTACGAACAATGGCTGGTCATTACTGCTTCTTGAGGAGACCTGGCAGCAGTTGTTTTTTTTTGGGTAATAAATTTATGTCGTCTTGTGTTATCTGTCTTGTTATTTTAAGAGAAATTTTCCTGCTTCAGTGAGATATTTTCCGGCATATACAAATCTGTGCTTTTTTTCCACTTAAATGTCTGTCTTTACGGCAGCCTTTTAAACGAATCATTCAGGCCCGATTGTTTACGAAACATCTTCACCACTTTTGCTGTTGGTTTGAGTGGCTAGAACGAAGTTAAATTCCCAAAAAAAAACTAGAAAGTTTTTCATCATTGCCGTCGATTTTGGGGTATTTAGGAAAAGAGAATTGAAAAAACACAGCTGAACACGTCATCATAAAAAAAGTCCTTTTCCGCCCACGAGTGTGCGTAAATAAAGATTTTGTTCATCATTGTTTTCATAGGGGGTCAATAGGAGTTATATACAAGCATCAAGAGTTTCCCGCTCCCGGTTTTTAGGCAATGCATGATGGGATAGGCGCTCCTGAAAAGTGAGCACCAACTCTCGAATCTCCGCCATTTCGGAATATTCGTTTCAGCTTCGCGTCTGTTTACCTTTTATCTTGTCATATTTCTCCGTCTTTAATTCATCTACTAC